TAATTTTTTAAATAAATGTTTATACTATAATTTATAGGTCACTAAAATGTTTGAGACAATTCACAATAAGTTCAGTTCACTTATAAAAACATTACTCGAAAATCATAAGAACTGGGAAATAGTTTAATATGTTAATGTAAAATTATTTTATAAAAAATCCCTCGAAGTAGTCTATCCCTATTTTAACTCATGAATAAATTTATATGTTGCTCAATTGTTTTGGACGTTGCTAAAATTTTCCCTTTTTTACTTGTTTGTTTGTTGCCGAATTGACCTTGATGTTCCTTGTTCCATCTCTTCTCGGTGTCAGCTTTTCCTTACAACCAGCCTATATTTACAGCTTTTTCTTCTCGAACTCTATACTTATAAACAAAAATGGTAATTAATTATCCGAACGAATATTTTGGCGCAACTGGTAAGGAGATTTAGGGTATAGATACGTTTCTGCCTATTTGGCCATTCAAATTATAAAAAATTCCCTCAAATATTCAACATGCCGTCTAAAAATGTTTTTGTTTGTGATTTTGAAAAAATGCTAAGGCAAAACCAAGAATTTAAACTTGAAATTGCCAGTCAACGAAGCATCATTTCATGGCTCCAGCATGACAACAAAACAATGAGTAAACGTTTGCGAGAGCTTGAATTGGTTGTAGGCAGGGAAAGAAAATCGCGCCCTCGTCATCGAGAAGTAAACATTAAAATTTAATATATACGATACCTATTTAATTACCTTTTGGAACTGAGAAATTTTACCTAGAAAACAAGACTATGAGTATATTAATGAAAATTTTGTAATAAAAATACTTATAAATTTTGTCTTAAAATGGGAGGAATCGCCTAAGCTCATCCATCTAGTTAAAATTACAAAAATCTTCAAGGTAACTGGAACCCGTGCTGAGGATGAGGAGCAAGGGAGAATTATGCGTGCTCGAAATCAGCGGTCTGAAGAGCAGCCAGATATTGGTGTTTAACTTTAGTTTTTTCTTTTTCAATATCTTATATAATTTATAGTTTATTTGGGGGAGGTTCAGCATATTCCTATCCCTGTTCACCAAATTCCTACTCCTGTTCAGCATATTCCTATCCCAGTAGAGGATATTGATGAAAATATTATGGTTGAAGAAAATGAAGGACAAAACGTGGAAGTGGAACAAGAAACAACCGAACATGTTGAATTGATCTATGAAAATGGTACAAGTTTTATTCCTTAATTTTAGTATATTTATTTCTAAAGGTACATCCCGTCGTGTACGAGTTTATGATTTGGATGAGTGCATAGCGTGCACATCAAGAAAACCCGCTGTCATCTTTGAATGCGGACATTTAGTTTATTGTTTCCGCTGTAAACGAGCCGCATTACGTGCCGGCTTGACTAGTTGTCCTGTCTGTAAAAGAGAGGTACCGTCATTTGATTCGGTAAGAGTTAATCGCCGTTAATGATTATGATTAAACATGAATGGGAATTAAAATACATAAAATTAAAAAAAATAATTTTCCTAAATTTTCCTTTAAAAAATATAATTTCCCATCCTGGCTTGTCTCCTGACTTATCATAAAAATAACACTTTACTAATATTTTTTTTAACAATTAATAATAAGTAATTCATTTATCATTAATTTCTCTAAATAATTAACATAATTAATAATTTTTATTTAATTTGCGAATAAAATTTAAAAAATTTAATCAAAAATTTTTACTTCTACTTTAATTCAATATTTTCAAAAGGGGGTGCCGGGGGAGCATTCTTCGGACGAAAAATTTTTCTAGCATTAATAAAGGGAGCTGAGATTGTTGGTTCTAAAAAGTATTAAATAGATTAAGAAAAGGGGGTTATATACCATCTCTTTTTCCTTTATATTTAATAATTTTTCTAATTTTAAATAGAATAAGAATAGCCAGTATTGTAACAATAACCTATAATATGAAAAATTGTTGCTTTGTTTAATTTTTAATTTTTACTTGATTTAAAATAATGAAGGATTTAAACCCAAATTCAATGAACAAATAATTATTTGTAAAATTATTATTATTAAAATTAGTAGTAGTAGCATTATCGGCAGAAGAATTTATATTATTGAAAGAAATATTTTTAAAAGGATCAGTTAAATAAGTATTAAAATTATTTGAAATTTTGTTGTTTACACAAAACAATGGTTGTTTAAAACCCTTAGGTCTCATGCAGACCATATTATCATTAGGGCATGTGCAGTTAAGCACAATGACCCACGTGATAATAGTAGGTAAAACCATTTTATTTTTATTTCTTAAAATTTTACTATATATCGACAAAAATCTAATAGATTCAACGATTAAAATATATGTAGATAAAGTCATATTAAGTGTAACCTACAAATTGAACTGATCTAATTCAATATACACGAAAAAACTTATTAATATTTTAGGAAATATTAAAATTTTGGCAATTTTATTATTAGTCTTATTGATTTAATCCTACGAACTTGTTAAAGATTTTCAAATGTGAATGAATCTATTGTATTATTTAGTAAATTTTTATGTAAAAGAACTATTTTTGTTAGCTCCCTATATTATTTACAAAGTTTCTTCCAGATGTGTATTTCAATTCAAAGAGAGAACTTAAAAAAGATACTTTTTGTAATAAAAAGAACTTAAGCTATTAAATTTAAAACTTAATAAAAATTGTTTAAAAAAAGACACTAATTTACAAAAATTAATCAAAATTGGAAATTATTTTTTATTTAAGAATATAAAATTATATAATAAAATTGAATCCCAACAAAGAAAAGCAAAAATTAGTCGATTATTACAATGTTTTTCTGTCTCTTTCTTTTGGTCGAACCGGATATCTAAAAATTAATTGAATTAAATACAATAATATTCATGTGTAGAATTTGGATAATTAGTAATTTGAATAAAAAATAATGTATTTGGGGGTGGGGAATTATTGTTTCAACCCAACTCTAACATGGGGAATTAATCGAGAGGGGGAATTATTCGAGGGAGGGGAATTAATCGAGAAAATGCGGTTCCTAGTCCCAGGTTCCTAGTCAAGACTGTTCCCTGGTTCCTAGCTTTGGCTGTTCCCAGGTTCCTAGTCAAGACTGTTCCCTGGTTCCTAGCCTTGGCTGTTCCCAGGTTCCTAGTCAAGACTGTTCCCTGGTTCCTAGCCTTGGCTGTTCCCAGGTTCCTAGTCAAGACTGTTCCCTGGTTCCTAGCTTTGGCTGTTCCCAGGTTCCTAGTCAAGACTGTTCCCTGGTTCCTAGCCTTGGCTGTTCCCAGGTTCCTAGTCAAGACTGTTCCCTGGTTCCTAGTGGGGAATTATTTTTTCAACCCATCCGTAGCATGGGGAATTATTCAAGGGAGGGGAATTATTTTGGGGTGGGGAATTATTGTTTCAACCCAACTATAGCATGGGGAATTAATCGAGAAAATATGGTATAGGGATCAGATATAGATATATATATAGGATCAATATAGGCATCAGGTCAGGGTCTTTTCTTTTAGCTTAGGTGTCGAATCAGATTTAATAAAAATAAACTTAACTTTCGCGTTTTTGTTTTAGTAATAGTTTCAGTACCACCAGCATCAGCCGCTGCATAGGATTGTTGTTGTTGTTGTAAAGCAGAAAACATAACAGCACGTTGTTGGGCATCTTTTAAATTATTTGCTGCTCCAATGTTTGGGGGAGGTTGTTGGTGTTGAGCCCCGTAAAAAAGTTGCTTCATAAGTGCATCGTTGTTTTGATGTTGTTGAGAAAATTGTTGATTTTGCTGCTGATTTTTTGAAGAAGCAGATTCTTTTTTGGATTTATGCTAGAAAAAAATTTTTGAAAATTAAAATTTTTTTATGAAATTTTTATTCATTAAAAATTTTCTTTTATTCATTAAAGAAAAATCAGAATTAAAAATTCAGAATATTCCGGAAAGTTTAATTTTAAAATTCTGATGTATTAAAATTCTGAAAAAGTTGGTTTTTTAAAATTAATTGATTCTGGAAGGTTTTATTCAAATAAACATTCTTTCCGGAAAAATTCTATTCTTGCAATGCTATCTCTGTTTTTAAAGAGCACTTTTCTTTACGGAAAAACTGTGCTTTTAATGGTTTTTTATTCACTACCTGAGCAACAGACTGATGAGAAAAATGTTGTGAAGGGTTAACAATATTATTATTTCCAATACCACTCAATTTATGTTGCTGGTTATTTTGGTGATATCCATTAAGTATATGTTGTTGTTGTTGACGCTGGAATTGTTCGAGTTGTTGTTTTTGTTCTTGTTGTTGTTGGAGACCAAAAGGAATTCTGAGAAAAAATTTTTGTAAGGTATTTTTAGCCAAAATATATGATACACCCTATACTAGATACACCTCCACAAGGAGGTATCTTATAGTAAGGTCAAAATTAAACTCACTGCATTTGAAGCATCTGTTGTTGATGCTGGGCAACAATATTGGGTGTTGGAATTGGAGCTGAAGCAGTGTTTGTTATAGCAGTTGAGGCTACTGATGCAGAAGGGGGTGCAAGAGGAATTTGTTGTTGTTGTGAAGCAAAAAATCTAGCTTGGCTTGGATCCATAACTGATGGACGTGGAGATGGAAGGGCACCAGAAGGAGTAGGTAAGGAAATAAATTGAGTATTTAATGGTGGAGCATTAAATTGAATAGATGGACCAGTAGTTATTGAGGCACGCTAAAAATAAAAATACGATTATTTGAAATGAGAGTCCAAGAAAATCCAAGGATTTAAACACAGTCCAAAAATCCAAGGACCATTAGACCAGTTAAGTAACTTTGACTTGAAGAAATTAGACTACATAGTCACAGATACCGAAAATCCTCCGAATTTTGGTTAATTTTTTAATTTATTATAAAAACAACGAATTTACCTAACTAAACCTATAATGTTTATATATTATAGATAAGGTTACGTATTTTGACACAGAGTGCATCCCCCAACCTATTCAATCACAAAATAAAAACAGATTTCCCTCAGATCTGCTTACCTCTTATGTTAGATAACATTTCACTCAGAAGCCTCCCCTACTCCCACATTTCCCACTAAAATATAAAAATCCAAACTGTATATTCATTCGCAGATTTCAAAAAACAACGAGAACTACCACTAGTTCCAGGTTTATCTTCATCATCCATTTCCATATCATCACCACCCCCAGCCAATTCTTCACCATCAACATCATAAACAAAAGGATCATCACCAGCTGTAGGGGAAGGAGCATCTCTAGTAGGTGATTCGCCTAACATACATACTGAACTTTCCATTGTTTCTAATTGCTTTTTAGTCTTTTTAATTCCTTCAGCAAAACGTTCATAAGCCTAAAAGTTCGGGAAATAAAAAATTTTTTATTAGCGGGAAAAATTTTGGAAAAATTCCGTTTTATTATTTCGGAAACCGACTCAAAATCAAGGTTCGTTGAATTAAATGTGAATCGAATGACACCAAAATTATTCACTTTAAAAAACAAACATAACAGGCTAGAGACTTCCAAGCCTCTTGGTCTTGAATATTGACTCAAAAAAATTTCATTGGGCTTTTTCGGTCTTGGTCTTTGGGTGGAGTCTCTGTCTCGACATGTTTGGGCTTCTCTAAACTTACACCCTAGGATTGAACTTTATTTGGTCCTTATTTTATTTCCAGAATGGAAGAAATCTGGCCTCTTGGCCTTCTAAAATTCTCAAAGATTTCGCCTGCGGCGATGTAAAAAGCAAGAATGATGGCTTGTCATTTCAAAATTCTCAAAATTTTGGTCTGCTGACATGAGTAAAAAAAGGAAAACTTTTTCTCAACGTTTTAAAATAGAACTTTCACTTTCGATTTTTGCACTAAAAAGAAGAGTTAGAAATCGAAATTTTCGGCTCCAAAATACCAATTATTTGGATTTTGATTATACTTCATAAAGCCTTTGATATTAAATGTACTCGTGTCGAAGGCACAAAAAAATTAACCAGAAATCTAGCCTATGGAACCAAAATAATTCTCTAGTCTTGTTAGTTTTTTTTTGGCCTTGAGTCTTTGGGTCAGGTTTTGGGATCTTGGTCTTGAAAATTTAAGGTCTTGAAAGTCTCTAGTAAGAGAAACAATTGAATGTAATTTGTTTTTTTCATTCTGAACTTTTCCAAAAAAAGACCTGAACAACAAGCGCAACTGTAGGCTTCGGTTTCAATGGCGTTTGCTTTTGTATTGGTTTAGAATGAGACGAGACTGAATGTAATTCCATTCCAGAACGGCGAACGCCTGTCACACCTCTTTTTATAACACCTAAAAAATTTCAAAAATTTTCTAAAAAAATTTTTAATTTTTAAAAAACGTTGTTCTCTCAAATTATTATGCACTTCCAAAACATTTTTAGCTCTTTTTGAGTTACTCTCTCCAGTAGGTATTTTAATATGATAAATATCATGACGATCTGGAGCTATCGATAAAACTGGTTTTGTGGGGCTAAAAACATCCTCCTCTTCCGGCATTAGAATATCATCTTGAAAAATTTTTTCAAGAAAATTTTTTACAAAAAATACCATCAACATAAGCATCATTTTGGTGAACGGTACGTGCTGGAGGAGCAGGAGGAGGTGCAACCGTCTTTTTTGGTGGAGGAAGAAATTCAGGCGGGGTTCCATCACAATAATTTATATAGCTGATTATGGCTAGCTGAAATAAAAAATTATTTTCGTTTAAAATACCAAAGATGGGTCAAGCTAACCGTTACGTAAAACTCGTATTCTCTTCCGAACCTAAACTCTAACAAAGAAAACTTTGAAAATGAACCCAAAACCCGTCTTTTTTCCTCAACCTTGTCCGCCCCTGGTAATCACCCATCAACTACCCGTTGGTCTTGCTCACTTCCATATCAGTCCCATTCCCTGGCTATTTTTCCATCAACTATCCTTCGGTCTGGCTTCCTTCCACATAGTCCAATTCCCTGCTATTTTCCCCTACCCCAAAAAAATTTAAAAAAATTAACCTGATCTCCCAGTGCACTAATGCCCAATTCTTTAAGGTCATCCTTTCCTGAAAATTTTTTATAAATTAGAAATAAAAAATATATAAACCCAAATCACGTAGCAAATTGGGCTGTATTCTTTGCTTGACAAATGTAGAAGCATACTTTTTCCTCAATTTTGTAGGTAGATCACAGCATGCTTCAAAGAACTTTTCCCATTTTTTAATTTGATCTGCACCTCCTTTTTCTTCTTTACCATTTTTAACTTTTTTTGTCGAGGAGCGTTGTTTTTTGTGTTCTTTCTCAAAAACTTTAAAGACCTCAAGATGTTTAATGCTGCTACGTGGTTCCCAGGTATCTAAAAATTTTTGGCTCTTATCCAGATTAAGCGTCCCATAAGTTTTTTTGATACAAAATGTTTGGAAAGTGGAACTAACTTCGGATGCATAAAATGGACAAGGGCCAGTTATGTTATAAATTAAAAAAAATTTTACTTGATTCATCCGAGTACCCCTCCCATTTTACTAAAAACTCTTCACGACCATTTTCAATTTTTCTTTCCAAAATGCTTTCAACAAAATACTTAAATTTAAAACATTTAGCCTTTTTAATAAAATATATAATTATTATCCTGACCTCTTCTTCTTCTTCCTCTTCAAGTTGTAAGTGTTGTGGATTGATGCGGGTCTTCTTGTTGTCTCGAGCAGCATTGTCTCCCAATTCTTCAAACTCACTATATTCGTCCATTAACTTTAAAATCTAAAAATTCGTTAGATATATAATTTAAATAGATATTTATAAATATTATGATGAAAGACATGGTTATATAAAAATATATTTATATATTTATCATTAATAAAAGATTAATAAAAAAATTTTTGTTGTTGTTAACATGTAGTCAAATGAGAAAATGTAGCAGTAAGGGAAGCGATTGTACAATCCTATAAATAGAAAAATAGTTCATAGGAAAACATTTTATTTGCAATAATTTTAATAAGTTTTATAAGTTTTTACGAAGTTATGAGAAATGCCCCATTTCCACTTTTTACTCATAAACCACTTGGGTTTAATGAAAAAATGTGTGCTAAACATTCTGCACCATAGATTTCACAAACACGAAAAGTTTTATTAAAGATAAAAAAAAAACCTAAATAACACAACCATATAAGACAGTCAATGTAATAGTAAACCAACATCACAAAAATTGACAGATTGAGTTTCCGAAGTGATCTAGAAAGCCCTAAAGATTCAAAGGAATGTTTAAATGATAACCAGTCCAAGAATCAGCTCATATTAGAATTTATCAAAATTCTAAAAAAAGGTAAAATTATTTTTTAATATGAACAGATCCTCACAAATTCATCATCCTCTCCATTAACAAGTCTAACAAATTCTGTAACAATAGCATACAACATTTGTGCATGTTTTCGTTTCCTTGAAAAAGTTGGCACCACCAATGTCAAATTTACGGAGTCCGCGCATTTTTGCAAATTATTGGAAGAAGGCGATATGTCTTTAATAAAATTGAATTTATTATAAATCGGGATCTGCATAAAATGCCAGTAAAGAAACATGAAAATTGTATAGAGCCTATTAAGGCTATAAATTGAAAAAATACTCTAAGGAAAGATTACTAAAATTATTCAAGTCTAATTCGTGTTATCTATGGAAAAAGTAAATTCGTTCAATATTCTAATAATAAATTTTAAAAATTAAAAAAATATTATTTTTCTGTTAAGTTGTGGAAAAAGAAAAGGAAAAAATAAAAATCGGAATCAATAAAATTAGAACTCATATTCGAACTCATGTCAGTACACCCACTTACACCCTGTCAAACCTCTAAAATATCGAAGAGAGCTTCCTCATTATTTTCTAGATAGGCAAAAAAATGAAAAAAGGTGTAACATATGTATAAAAAAATATTTAGATTTTCCTACCCATATAATCTTCTAAAGGATGTTCCATCCGATCACAATAAGAAACATAAGAACACCGAAAATTATGATAAGGTAATTCTGGTGTAGATAAAGGTAATAAAGCATAATCAGCAATTAAAGGTGGATTGTTAAACTTCTTTGAATTTCGGGAAAATAATGTTTTAATGTTGAAAGTAATTCTAATGTCAAGTCATTTGTTTTATTCCATCCAGTTTTCGAAGAAATAAATGAAGAACAGCCATTGGATTAGAAGAAAAGGATTTTGTGCCACCAGGACGGTCTTCCCAACCTATTTGGATCTATAAAAATTTTTTAAAAATTACTGAAAGTTTAAATATTTCCCAAGAAATATTTTAAAAATCCATTATCTATAAAAGTTTGGAAAAATTTTTTAAAAACAAATTTTAAATATGCAATCTGTTCCTGTTGTAGTAATTCCAATTTTGTAAATTATGTATCTTTATAAATAAAAAATACTTTTGAAGAAAAATGATTGAAATAATTCAAATATTGAAAAAAAAAGGTTTAAAAAATCGTTGTATCTTTTTTTGGTTTTTTAATTAAATGGAAGGATAGAAAACAAAATGTTTATGTATATATGTAATTAAAGGGGTAAATTTAAAAAAAGTTCATCTTCTTGGGAAAAAATGTCAAAAAAGCAAAAGAATTTGCATAATTTCTATGAAGAAAGAGAGAGAGACGTTTAGAGGGGGTGGAGCCAAAAAAAAAACAGTTGCAGGCACTTTCCCTAAGACTCAAAGAGAGAGAAAATTGCCAACGACGGGGACGTACAAACAACGACGAGCCTGTTGTTATAACTACTGAGGAGTATGGTTACAAGAAGCTTCTATTAATATTTTGGAAAATTTGGGTCCAAATAATGAAGTCACAATGCTTAAAAATAGAAAAATGAAAGAAAAATATTTAGGTAAAGGATTGTTTTCAACAGAAACTGCTAAACAAAAAGTAGAGCTTTTGGACGCTGAATTTATTAGTTTATTTGATATTCAATTTGGGGATATTAATGTAAATGATCAAAAACAGCAACATTTTCAACCTTATGAAATTAAGGATGTTTCTCTAATTAAGCAGGAACACAATTTGGCGAAAGAAATACAATTTTCGCCTGCACTATCCGATAAAACTCAAAGTAGCATCGCAGATATAACTTATGATAATTTACCAGGCAAATAATAAACTTATATGTATTATTTATAGGGTTTGTGGAGCGCTAAGTATTAAGCTAATAATCAAGCATGATTTTCATTTTATATGGAGCCTTCAAGTAGCACAATTTATTTAAGAACCTTTCCTTCAATAGAAATACTCCGTTACTTTAATAGAACGAAGCACATCTCAGTAAAAGGCTTAATAAATCCCAGTCTTATTTTATCATATTATATTAAGGAAATCGTTTGTTTACGCTCATTTTATAATTTTATTTATTTTATCACATTATTATTGTCTGAAATCGTCGCGCTGGTGCGTATAAATTTGATTTGATTTGATCATATAGTTTTAACTTATAGCTCTATTTCTTTTCATTACGCGATAAAGTCACTTGGTAGTAATCTACAGAATTTTAACAGAAACAATTAAATTAAGGCACTAGATTAGAATTAGTAATATAATAATACTATGAAGGATTCTTTGGAAATAAAAATTTTTAATCTTTATTTAAAATAAATTAAGTTTTAACATTGGACGAAGCATCAAATATAATCAAAACAATTTATGAATTTAGTGAATATACAAATTTCAAGGCATTAATTGATCCAGATTTTATTATTGGTTATTATGAAAAATGGCATGAAAGAGAATTAAAAAATAAATTTAAAGATGAAATTAACTTTAAAAGACTTCTACTGGACGAACAGCATTTATTGCGCGAGTTAAGTATTTGCTTATTGGTTGATTTCTTAGATAAGAAAAAGAATATCAAGTTCACATCCCAGTAAAAGGCTTAATAAATCCCAGTCTTATTTATTTTTTTAGAGATTGTTTAGCGTTCTTTTTTTAGAGATTGTTAGCGTTCTTTATAGCGGGGATTAGCGTTCTTTATAGCGGGGATTATTTTTAGAGATTGTTTAGCGTTCTTTATAGCGGGTTTATAAGTGTATTTACGTGAAATTATCTCGTTTCACCACATCTAATCTTACGCATTCACTTTTATTTCACTTTCACTTTTCGTTATAATTTTGCGTTAAAATGAAAATATTTAATAGTCAAAATCTGTATTTATGAGCTTTTATTAACGATAACAACTTAGCTATATTACTTTCTAAACACTAGAGACTCAATACCGAGTCTCACACGTCTCTATCAGGGATGAGCGCATGAGACAATCTCAAAAAACGCAAAATCCAAGATCTTTCGCTTAACTGATCTTTTCCTTAACTATTTTTGATTTTTCTTGATTTTTAAAATTTTGAGAATTTGGAAGGTTGAGATATATCTCTTCAATTTTTGTCCTCAGATTGGTTGTATTTTTGCGTTAATTTCGTCAAAAATAACGCAATGCGCTCGTTCTTGTCTTTAATAAACACTGTTTTGCTAATGTTCCGAGACTAATGAATTTCCCCAGTTCTAATGATCAACGTAGTTGATATAGAAAGGGGTGCCTGTAAAATAGTTTTACTTAAATAATCAAATATGTAATAAACTTATTTTAGACTCATACAAATAAAACCTTCGATAGCTTCTCATTTTTAAAATCAAATGGATGTTTTGTAAACTATTCTCGAGAAGGAAAAGAAAAAATTGACTTTAACAAAGATGGTTTTACTGAAAATATAGTTAGACATTTTAATTGTTTTGATAAGTTGATCTTATCAAATTTGCCCAAAATAATCGATGAACAATGCAAAATTGTATCATTTAATAATAATCAAAGTGAATTGTCTTTAGGCGAAAAAGAACATGCATTGTGTATTTTAAGCCGTCTTTTTATTTTTGCTTATTCATTAGAAGAAAAATTAAGCAAATCTAAATCTAAGGTATAATTTGAATAATTAGAGCGATATTATTCAAGGGATACAGTATATAATGGGTGAATTCGGATGGATATATGTTGCTTAAGTGTCTAATTAAATTATTTTTAAGTAAAAATAAATATTTAATTTAAAGGGAGAAAAATCTTCAACATCAGGTCATCATGAAGGCCAATCTGATAGAATGTCTATCCTCAACAATTTTATAGAAAAAGCTCGAGGAGTATGGTTACAGGAAGCTTCTATTAATATTTTGGAAAATTTGGGTCCAAATAATGAAGTCACACTGCTTAAAAATAGAAAAATGAAAGAAAAGTATTTAGGTAAAGGATTGTTTTCAACTGAAACTGCTAAACAAAAAACTGAGCTTTTGGGCGCTGAATTTATTGGTTTATTTGATATTCAATTTGGGGATATTAATGTAAAGGTGGAAAATCAAATAGATTTGGATGATTTTGACTTTGATTTTAGCGATACATCTGGCCTTGATTTTAATTTATTACAAGATTTAATCTAATTTTATTTTTACTCTAAAATCATTTAAAAAATTTTGTTGTTTTGAAAATCACTTCGGTAAAGCGAGGCCGAATTAACAATCCGAGGCGAAAATCCTCGTTTTTTGGCTATGTTTGAAGGTGTTAACTCAACTCTTGTATACTATTTCACAATATTTACAGACATTCATCTAGTTTATTCTGCTAAAATTTCATGCAAAACACAATATTAATTAGAGCCCTGACTGGGAGAGTAGCACGAGAATCGAGATCTCGAAAAATCTAGATCTCTATAACTGAGATTTTTCGTTTTGATCCGGGCTCTAATATTAATATTCTTCATTTATCTTGATTTCAATTGTATATCAAAAACATTTGTATAAAACTTTGAAAATTTTTTAATTGCATTATTTTTTAACATAATTGAATACATAAATTTTAGAATCTTCAAAAGTTCAAAATGAGAATAATTATTATTAAATTAGCTTGAATTGGATTAATATATTTGTGTTTCAATCAGGGTGTCCTTTTGCCTTATTTACAGGGCATTTGCCCTATTTTTGCAATTTCGCCCTATTTTTTCCCTATTTTCCCATTTGCCATATTTTTGCCCTATTTTTACCATCTATAAAATTTTAAAAATTCTTCTGATTTTGTAAAAAAATGGTAAAATGAAGGATTTCTGCCTTCTTGGCCCTCAAAAATCCTCAAAATTTTTGCCTGCGGCGCAAAAAATGGAAGAAATTTGGATTCTTAAGCTCCAAATTTGAAAAAATTTTCGCCTGCGGCGCTGAAAATTGGAAGAAATTCTTCGATTATGGTGCAGGGATTTGGTCGTGAATCGATAGTAAGTTTTAGAGGATATCAGGTTTGGATTTTCTGTTGTATTTGCTTTCTCAAGGGTAATTCAATTAACGGTATTCGGAGATTAAAAAGGATATCCCCGATAAAATCGATTAGTCACAAGTTGATATTTAATGATAAAGAAATTTTTAATTGAAAAGTGGCAAATTTTGATTAAAAAAATCTCTTGCGTTGCGTTTTTGCGTCGTTTTTGGCCTTGCGTTTCGTCTAACTCCGTTGTATCTTGCACAGTCCCTGATCCTGATTAGTTTAATTTAGTTTAAAATAGTGAAAAATATGTATGCATAATAAAGCTTTCTTTTTAAAATTTTGAGTATTTTTAAGGGTTTAAAACAATGCCATATTTTTTGCCCTATTTTTGACCAATTTCGCACTATTTTTGCCATATTTTTGAGTCGCTTCGCCCTATTTTGGTGTTTTGAAAAGGGACATCCTGGTTTCAATTATTGTTGTTATTTCTGGGAATGCTCTTAAAAATGTTGAAATCATCTTCATTATAAAATCACATGCATTTCACTGAAAATATTTATCAGAAGTTGCACTTTCCCTTACATCGCCCTTTAATTTAAAATAAATTTTCTTAAATATATTTTTGCCGACTAAAGCTTTGAATATATTTTTGCCGACAAAACTATTGGCCGAGTAATATTCTAAAAGGGACCCGGCATTTTGCCCTTTATTTTTCTAAAGAGATGGCCTGGCATTTTGCCCTTTATTTATGTCTAGGGAACGGATTTATATGGATTTCCATATTTTTTTCCTGGCCTAGTAGGGTCTTGAAACGTCCAAAAAACATATTTTTAGCATATGGTGATAAGGCCGTTTTTGAGTTACCAATCCATATTTTCCATATTTTTCCATATTTTAACGTTCGATCCATATTTTCCATATTTCGTCCATATTTCGTCATTTTTGTAAAATTTTGCCAAAAATTGATCAAAATTTTCAAATTTATGAAATTTTTTTGGGCAAAAAAATTTTTTGTAAAAATTTTTTGGAAAAATTTTTTCAAAAAATTTTTTTGACAAAAATTTTTGAAAAAATTTTCGACTCAAATATTATCCAAAGTTCTTTTAGAAATAAAATAATCACTATAAATTGATTTATTTGTAATATTCTGCATCAAAATTAACTTAATTAACATTTTGCTGCTTAAAAATACAGATTTTCCTTTAAAAATTTTCAGTTTTCAGGCCATATTTGATCCATATTTTGGCTTTTAGTCCATATTTCAGTCCATATTTTAAGATTTTTAGTCCATATTATATGTCCATATTATTCGATTAATAGTCCATATAAATCCGTTCCCTATTTATGTCTAATCATGTGAAAATGATTTAAAAATAAATTTTTATTTGCATTATTTTTATAAATTAAATTGAAAATATAATTTTTAATAAAGCTTTAATTGACAATTAAATAAAATAAAAATCTTTAAAGATATAAATTTTATTTCAGGGGAATGATCTTTATTTTACTATTTCGATTAATTCTCTTAAATATTCTTATTCAAAATAATGTTTTTTATTGCGTAGATGAAAATATTGGAAATAATTTTTCTGATGGTCATCATATACAAAATGAGCAAATTCATCATTTTGGGCAAAATTCAAGTATCAATCCATCTATAATGCCTGAATCATCACAAATGAATGCACAAATGCCGGATCCAAAAAGAAGTTAGTTACTAAACTTCTCAAAAATAGTGTTAAATTCCCATCGGATTTTCAAACGGCTTTTGGCAAAAGTGCTAGTATTGCTCCTGGGACAGCTCCAGTAGAGCCGGAGCTACAATTTATCTTTGATTCTATACGACGGGCTGACAATTTTTAAATTTCTAATTATATTAATTAAGAGAGAAATAGAAAGAGAAAACAACGACCACCAACGACATATATTACTGTTGATACTAAAGATTTTCAGAAACAAGTCATGAATTGTAATAATTCTTTATTAAACATTAAATTAGTAGAACTATTTGACTAGAAAAGAAAAATTTTCCAGAGATAACTAGATATTAAAAGCTACAGTTTACTTAAGAAATATTATTTTAGTTTTATCATCTGTTTAGCTATTCGGTTAACTGAAGAATTTGATGAAATAAAAAACTTAGGATGTAAAGTAGATTTTAGGATATCTACGCCAATTGAATCCACATATTTTAAGATATTTCAATCTGATATATAATTTTCATTGAACTTTTAAACTTTACAGATACCGGCTTGCCTGTTGAACAAATGCATTTACCAAACTATTTTCAACAAATTTATCAACAAAATCAGTTTAAGCAGAAACAAATGCTAAATACTACAGGTTTTGTCAACCAATCCTTAACAAATGGTGAACCATCGAGTTTTAATAATTTTGATCATCAATTTCAGCAAAATATTTACCATGATAATTACAGAGCAAGTATTGATGGAATATACAACATTCATGGTTGCTTTATTTATTAAACATAAATTCGTAAACATATTACGAATTGTAACATGGTTGACCCAGACCTTTTCCCACCTGTCCGATTTTTGGATAAACCCCTAGCATTTAGAGAAATAGAGAAAAAATTAAAGAAATCACTATATAACATGTAGATCAAACTTAAAATAGGTCTACAAAATAACTTTGCTACTAACCAAAAAGAAGTAGAGAATATTCAAAACCAAAACTCAGAACATAAATTTGATGAAGTAAATAGATTTCCAAATTTGGAAATTCAACAAATTCAAAATATGAATGAAAATTTGCATAATTATGGGCATCTTTCTATTGTTCCCAAACACAACCAAGAATTTATCGGAGAACATAGTAAAAGCTTTAACAATTTAACCATTGAACAATTTAACCATTCCATGGAAAATCACACAAAAAATACGCACGGAAAGCAAGTAGATCTAATTGAACAAAATCAGAATAGCGTAAATACCTTTGTGAGTGAAACAAAAAACGAATTTGCAAGGCAAAAGGCAATTGTAAAGGAAACCCTTCAAGTTATTCGAACTGATTATGAGAGTCAAAAAGAGTTTCTTGAATTTTTTAAGAATCATAATAAAGCCTTGGAACAGTTAAAGAATAGATTTGAATCTAAGCAACATTCAAAATATTATTCTAAAAATTTTGGAAACAATGGAGGGATAAAACTAAATGAACAGAATAATATGAATTTGCATAATTATGGAAATCCAGTTGTTTTTGACCATCATACCCGAGAATTGATGGCAGAACGTAGTAACCATCTTAGTAATTTAGCCACAACTGAATTGCAAAAGGGAAATTATTTAGAAATTATTAAACAAAAAAATTTAAAGGATTTTCAAGACTTGGACAAAATTCATCAACTTCTTCTAATGCAAAATTTAAAAAATAAACAATTAGTTCAAAATACACCAAACAATCCGCAACACAGTTTCAAACCTAATACTCCGTCTGGAAAAACACTATTTGAAATTAATAATGAAAAAACCCAAAGTAACCCAACGTTTATTCCTCTTGTATCCCAAAATTCACAAGAAAAATACAACTCAAACATGTCAATAAATCAACAAAATGTTTTCTACACAGAAAATTCAAACACATCAATGCATCAAAACTTGGTAAAAATTCTACCAAACGAAGAACATGAAAATCAGGTTTTTGGTAAATTTGAAATTTAATTTCATTCAAAAATTTTTAAGCGATACACTGGAACTTTGGGTAAATTTAATATTTTAATTAATTAAAATATTTCTATTTAATCTGATTTAAAGACGACATTGTGAATAAAAGCAAAAGAATTATGGATTAAGACAGAGAATATAGTAATTAAATAAAATTTACTAAAAATGAACTTTAGAAGTTTAAAAAATTTTTAATTATACACATATTTTTCTTTTTATTCTTTATAGGGCTTACAAGTAAATTAACATTAAACAATATTTGTTATGTAATTTTTGATAAAATATTTTATTTTTGAATTAATGTGTCTTTTTGATTACTCTATACTGTTCAAATAAAATTTTTCTAACTTAATTTTGAACATTAGCTACGGCATTAACAGTTGATGGAGTCACAGAATTAGTGAATATACGTTTGAAAAAAGATTTAATTAAAGCAAATTCCTTTAAATAAGCCTCTCTGTAGTCAGTACTATTAATTTAATTTCTAAATTAATTTATTTAAACTCTTTAAATCTACCTATTAATAAAAAGTATTGGCGCATTTGAAGCCGAACCAAAAATATATACCGTATTTACTCAAATAATTGCCCTCTCTCAAATAATTACCCCCTATTTTTCCTACTGATTTTAAAAATATTTATTAAAAATCATATCAATTTTAATAATATGTATAACATTTACCGGCCAATATCAAGGAATAAATTGGATTAAGAGGGAAATCGAGGGAATTAAGAGATTTTTAAAAGACAATAAGAGATTAAGAAGTTTTAAAAGTATAAGCTTTATTCGTTTTAAGCCTTATTCTTTATATCTCACCAAATCCTCTTAAATACCTTAAATATTTTGTGTCTTTATATATCCAAAGACGAAAGTATTGCTGGTATAGTACTATTTTGAGGACATTTATATTAAAAGAATTAACATTATATCCTCTAACCAGGAATAACCTCTAACCAGGAATAATCAGGAATAAACTTTATATATCCCAGACAGGGTGGCCCTTTCCAAAACACTAAAATAGGGCGCAGCCACTCAAAAATAGGGCAAAAATAGGGCAAAATTGGCCAAAAATAGGGCAAAAAATAGGGCATTATTTAAAAATATTAAAAATAATTGAAATTCCAATTAAAAAGCTTTATTCGGAATTTTTTACCTAGGTTTAACTAAATGAGCAAATGGAGGGATATAGGGGGATTTTGAGCAATTATTAATGGAATTGGTTATAACAGAGTTATCTAGGGGATTTAGGAGCAAGAAAGTTATCTAAGATGGATAAGAGGTTAGAAACTTGTAGTTATCTAGGGATTTGTGAGGATTCGGTGTATTTGGGGGTAGTAGAAACATCGTGTATGTTTTACGTCCAATTTTGGTGGATTAAATGCTGTATATATTCCACTCAAGCCCTTCCAATCCCTTAATTTTACACAAAGTCTTCACAGATTCTTCCTTTTTTAGCGCCGCAGGCAAAAATTTTGAGAATTTTGTAAGGCCAAGAAGCCAGATTTCTTTGTTTTTTTGCGCCGAAGGCGAAAATTTTAGGAATTTTGGAAGGCCGTATGCCAGATTTCTTACTTTTTCTGCCATTTCATTTACGAAATTCTAAAATTGTAAAAATTTTACAAAATGGTAAAAATAGGGCAAAAATATGGCAAATGTAAAAATAGGGAAAAAATAGGGCGGAAAGGTCGAAAATAGGGCAAATGCCCTGTAAATAGGGCAAAAGGGCCACCCTGATCCCAGAACAGAAGTATTGATGTTATAATCTGTTTTGTGGAAAATATTAAGGGAATAATAAAGTTAAAACACATTTTTTATCTCAGTATTGGGTAACGTATTGTATATTCCTGTTCATATGCCTATGATAAAATAAAAATATAAAGGTCGAAATAATAATTGCCCTCTCTCAAATAATTACCCCCTCCCTATTAATTACCCCCTCCAGCGAGAGATCGAAACAATAATTACCCAGGGTAATTATTTGGGTAAATACGGTATAATACTAGAATATGTTAATATAAACCAAATTTCTTCATTTATGCCGTTTTCTATTGAAAATCCGAGTAGTAGAACTGCTACGAGTTGAAAAATAAGGCAAGAACAGATATTCACAAAAACAATAAGATATAGAGATCGATAAAGCTTTTTAATTGTTTCATGATGCAAATCTAATAAATATTATAAATAGACTAAATTAGGGTTCGGATTCGTATTTATTTTGGAAGTACAGTACTTAACATATTTTTTCCGAGACATTTTTTTCGGGCCGTACGAGTCTTTCGGGCTAAATATCTTAGGCCCGACTCGATCTTTAGGTCCGAGTCGGGCCATTTTGGCAACCCTAAATATAATAATAATTTTAGGCCGACAAACCGTACCCGTTATGAATTTTGTTAATATTCCAACGAATAAATAATTCATTAAAGTAATGATGTAAATAATTAAAGGAAACGCAGTTCGAATTTGACCGGTTGATGAAATAATTATAATGATATCCATAGGATTGCCTGGTATTTTAAAATTTCCATATTTTTCATATACTGGCAAAATAACGATGAAAATCATAAAAATATTGTACAACGTTATTAATGATATATTTACAATTATATATTTCTTTTGTTTCATGTTATTGTATCTGAAATTTGTATTTAATATTATTTTAAGTTTAAGAACTGTCAATAGACTCCTAATCAAGCTCAGGGATCAGGCTGGCATGAAATCAAATTCCAGATTTCGGGTATCAGGAATTGAGTATTAGGAATTCAGGCATTTTATCAGAAATTTTTACTTCCTTCTTTATTCTAAATACACGAACAAAAAAATATATAAACTTTCAGTTTTGGCCAAGTTTGTAAATTTGAAATTTTTCGTACGTGTACTGTAACTGTTTAGGGTTTTCTTCTATTTTTTGGTTTAATTTCTGGCACTAAAATTTCCTGATAAGTTTAATTTTTTTAATAGATCTAAATCAGGGTGACCCTTTCCAAACCACTATGATAGGGCACAGCCACTCAAAAATGTGGCAAAAATAAGGCGAAAATTGTCAAAAATAATGCAAAAAATAGGGCATTAAAGCACAATAATAAGTCGGTATTCTCCTTATCAGCGCCGCAGGCGAAAATTTGGCGGTACTACAATTGAGGATACGCACTTGAGGATATGACAAATGAGGACGACATTTGAGGACGACATTTGAGGACGACAATTGAGGATCTGACATATGAGGATTTTTGGAAGGCAATAAGCCAGATTTCTTCTTTTTTTAGCGCCGCAGGCGAAAATTTGAGAATTTTTTAATGCCAAGTGACAGATTTTTTCCGTATTTCACATTCTATTTATAAAATGGCAAAAAAATTAAAATGTTACAAAATGGTAAAAATAGGGCAAAATATAGCAAATGTTGAAAATAGGAAAAAACAAGAGCGAAAAGGTCAAAAATAGGGCAAATGCCCTATAAATAGGATATAAGGGTCACCCTGATCTAAATATGTATTAAATCTTACAATATAGGTAAAGTAACGCCTACTAAGCGATCAATGCTAATTAAAAGTAACATAAAATTCGAAGTATTGAATACAATTATTACATAAAATATATAGGTTTTGGATAACCAATTTGTAAGAAAATTAATTCCAGTTGTCGATGTTGCCAAATAAAAAAATATTACTGTATTCAACAAAATTTCAAATAAGGCGTAAAATACAAGCAAAATACTTGTATTACTCCTTAATGCTGTATATTTTTTTCTAAAAATTAAAATTTTTCCTATTTTTTATAAAAGAAAAATTTTATCCTAAAAATTACTTGTCTCATTCGCCGTCACCTAAAGTCGGAGAATTTAAGAGTTTTTTTTTGAAAATTCCTCGTCCCAACGCCATCCAAAATTCACAAATTAAAATTTTTAATCTCTTATCCCCATTAATTTATATAGGTATGTACGAGTACAACAATTTTTATTTATACCATACCTATATTTGATTGTAATATAACAAACACTTGAATTCATTATAATTGCAATTAATGAAAATAAACTTATAAGTAAAGCATTCAAAAATAATTTTATCATAAAACCTTTTTCATTATATGTAGAGTAGATTGGCTTTAAATTAAATTTTATTTTAAAAATTTTATTGGATTTAGATCTTTGTTCAGATTTTTTCTATGTCCGGTCTCTTGTTATAATAATTACACTGCGTTTCAAAATGATACCACCCCTAGTTTTTTCATGTTTTATAAATTTTCTTTGTTATTTTAATGAGATATTTTATCGGTCATACGACACTTGCAGACGAGACATGTGCAGACCAGACATTTGCAGATATTAATTTTTGAAAAAAAATTTTTTTAATCAAAAAAAATTTAAAAATCTTAAAAACCAATGTCGGGTCTGTAAATGTCATATCTGCAAGTGTCGTGACACGATTTTATCTATCGAATCTTCTTGATATATTAAATGTTTAACAAAAATAAACTTACACTATAGTAAGTTTTGTCGTCCATAATTAAATTAATTTTTTAATATAATTTTATTTTAATTAATTATAAAATTTTCGAATAAAAAATTATTAATTTAATAAAAAGAAAATTCTTAAGAAACATTTTATTATAAAATAAATTATTTATTATTAACGTAATCTTTTTATGTTTACAATTAAACACACCTGCCATTAAAATAATTTCATAAATATTTGTTTAAAGTTGTCGTGAAAAATAATTTTAAGGCGGTAATTTGTTGAGATTAATTGGCACCTGCAATTCGTCCTTTTCGACATATTAAATAATTAAATATACATTCAAGAAAATGATATTTATAATTTTAATAATAAATAACATTCTTGAGGTGGTATAAGTCTTGACGGAGGTGTATAAGTCTTGTAAAAATTTTCAATACGTGGGAGAGGGTTGTTACGGTTACCCTGTGCTACAAGGTCTTGTAAACAATTTAAGGTTTAAATGATTCTTAAATAATTAAATCTTAAATATGAAATTTATAACACTTTGTCAAATTAATTTGGACAATATTGAGGATTTTGTTTCTTTGAGTCAGTATCGTTTCTCGCCGAGAAATGGACCGAGAATTTCTGTATCAGGTTCGAGAACGAGAATGAAAAAACCGAGACCGATATTGGAAAAAAGCCGAAAATCTAGGTATCTGTTTCGTCTTTGCCAACTAGTTTTCAGATCTTCATCGATAAAGCAAAAATAAAACAAGTAGAATTGTAAATACAAAATATTCTTAATTTTTTTTGTTTTTGATTTGAAATTTTAGAATTTAAAATTAAAGTAAAAAATATATAGTATGTAGAAGAAAATAAAGAATAGATGACGAATTAATTATTTCAAAATAATTATTGTTATTAAAAATTTTTTAGTCAATAATTATTGCCCAATAAATCTGCACTTTGAATTTTTATTAGTTTTATTTGTTCAGCTTTTCAAATCATCTACCTTCAATAATTTTTATTAGTCATTCAAAATATCATCTGAAAATTTCCCAATAATGCTTTAAAAATAAGGCTATAGATAGAAGGATGAATTTTAAAAAAAATTAAATTTTGAAGTAAACAGAATTTTTTTATCAGTCATTTTTGAATTTCAAAATAGAAAAAAGGTAAAATCTGAATAAACTTTAATTTATCCCTTACTTAATTTGAAAATAAAAATGCTTAAATGATGCTTCAATTGACATTTAAAATTAATAAAAGACCTTAAGTTTCTTAATTAAAAAATGTTTTTAAAACTTTTAATTTTCCTTTTAATTATAAACAAAATTATTGCTTCTGATTCTAATAGCGGAGATAGTGGCAATGAAAATTCTAATAGTAAGCCCAGTGATGAGTTTGTCGACTCTGTTGACGTTCGAGAGGTAAATTATTACTTATTTAACCAGATAAAATTATTTTATAAACTATTCAAAAAATTCAATAAAACTTAATGTTAGATCTCATACCTTTTTATAATAAAAATAATGAAAAGATTCTTAATTTTATCCAAATTAGTGTTTTTGAGTAATTCATCCATAATCATGATCTAGTGGTTATGATCCTCTAAAATGTAAAAAAAACCTTGATATCCTTTTTATTGGCACTTTAATGTGTAAGGGCTTTCATCTAGGCATAATGGCTTAATTGAGAAAATAATATACATGACGTAATCCAAATAATAAATTTTTACAGAATGATAATGAGCAACAACCTTCCAATTCAATCGACAATCAAAATCTTCAAGACCCACAATTTATTAAAGATGATGATACAAATGCACTGTTAAATAACGAAGAGAATAATCGCATTAATGAATACACAACAGAAAAAATTAAAAAAGATGAGGAAGACCAACTAAATAATGAAGGATCTATTGTGGACAATGAATTTCCTGAAGAGGATAATGATGTAAATGGAATAAACATTAATACAACTGCAAAATATCTCAATGATGTAAATGATAATGATAACAATGAAAGTGATGGGCAAGGATGCGTGTATGAGGTTCGATTTCTTAACGAAAAATCCCCTCGCTCTTAATATCCTGATCTGCAACCTCCGAAGCTTGCTTATATGTTCAATTTACCACTGATAGCATTTATTGAAAAAAGGAACCTTATCACACACACTTACATTATTATAAGTAGAGCCCGGATTTTTATGCATTAAAAAATGCAAAATATGCACTATAATATGCATAAAAAATTGCCAAAATATGCACAAAAATATGCAAGTAAACCAAAATATACACGCATATATGCATGAAAAATACCATTTATACCTAAAAATTTTACATATTTTTAGTCAATATGATTTAAAATACATTTTTTTATTAAGATTTCTCCTATTTTAAATGTATAGTTCGACAAATTGAGCATTTTTACGGTGTTGGGCATTTTGAGATGAGGCATTTTGGTGGTGGGACATCTTGGGGTGCGACGTTTTGGGGCTGAGACATTATGGGGGTGGGCCATTTTCTGGCGAAACCAATAAACACAAAAAATTTTTTACAAAATTTGTAATTTTTACAAATTTTTTCCTAAATTTTTACTAAATTTTCACTTTTTGGCAGGATTTTAGGCAATTTTCGCAATATTTTCCCCAAAAACCTCAAAATATGCAGTAAAATATGCATTATGCAACAACGTCCGGAATATGCAAAAATATGCATTATATGCAAATAGAAACCCCCTCTAAAGTTTTCAAAACTTGCGGAAACAGTGTTTTTTGTGCATAACACATCATGAAAAGTTTGCAAAAAAAAATATGCATTTGCATAAAAATCCGGGCTCTAATTATAAGCCATTCCTAGTAAAATAGAAATTCCCTTACATTCTTAAAATTTTTATTCAAAACTAGAATAATTCAAAATAAAATTTATATTATTTAAGTAAATATTAAAATTAATTAGGATGGTGTAATTAACGATAATGGGGAGGAACGTACACCTACATCGGATGAACAAAAACAAATTGAGGAATATCTTCAAGAAATGCGTGAATTTGAAGAGCAAATGGTCAAAGACAGTGCTAATTTTATGAGAAATTTAGCACAATTTGTAATGAGTCAATTCGAAAACATTTTTGGGTAAAGTTTAAAACTTTATTCTGCATTATATAATTAAGTAGAAATCAAATTATATATAATATATTAACAGCCCTTCCTTAATAATTTTAACCCTCCGGAAGCGCAGATAGCTAAATAAATAATGGGCCTAGCAAAAACAAAGAATAGAGGCATGACATCTTGTATAACTAACATCAATATCCTAAGTGACACAAGCCCATATTCAAATAGGTTCTTTGCATTTCGGAAATATAAAACTTCTTTCAAGATCGGTTATCAATCAATTTTCGGTCATATTTTTAGTTCTGCAGAACATTCTAAACAAATATAGTATCATAAATATAGTCAAAATTTATAATCTTAAACATAATTTATAACCCCAAGTTCTTCCGTCTCTTCTCTATCAAGGAACAATAATAATTTGTTGGAGAAAAAACCTGTAGAAGCACCAACACCTCCTTGTTTATGCAAAAAATGTGACAGTATGGCATTTATACACAACAAGCAAAACAAATATTTTAAAAATTTTGCTAATTAATTAACAAAAATATGAAAAATAATCACAGATTGTTTATCTCTTTCTTGAGATTTTCGAATTATTTAATCCATTTTTATATAAATTTTTAAATTCATTTTCTCTTGAGCTGATTAAATTAAATTTTAATGTTTGGACTAGTGTTGTACCCCGTACCCCGTTCCCGAACGATTTTTTCACGATTCTCCCCGACCCGAACCCTGCCCCGAAAAAAAGTGAAAACCCCGTTCCCCGGCCCAAAAAGTTTCGGGGTTATCAGGGTTTTATACCCCTAAAAATGTCATTTTTTAGAGAAATTAATGAAGAAAATTTTAAAAATTTCCACCCATTTTACTTTGCTTTTATTATTTTTGAAAGAAAAATGAATGAAATATCATAATTTTCTTTAATTCTTTATTAAGAGACTTGTGGTTGAGTGGCTTAGTCGTTGGTTTTAGCCGATATTTCATTAATATAGGGTTGGGTTCGGATCCATATAAGGAGAACGCTTTTGTTTTTATATTTCTTTACAAAAACAAATTATTAACGTTTAAATTGTAATTTCAAAATATTAATTTTATTTTTAACTGATATCCCTTGAACCACCCTTAATCCTTCAAACCCCATGTATCACCAGCAGTGCTGGGTATTTGCCATTTGTTGGCTCCGGCTCCGGGCTCCGGGGTTTCAAATTCTTGGCTCCGGCTCCGGCTCCGGCTCCGGGCTCCGGGGTTTCAAAATCTTGGCTCCGGCTCCGGCTCCGGGCTCCGGCCTTTTAAAATCTTGGCTCCGGCTCCAGCTCCGGCTCCGGAGCCGGCGATTTTCGGAGCCGCTCCATGTTGGCTCCGGGCTCCGGGTGGAAAATCAATGAATTATTTTTCATTGGGGATTTGGGTAGATAAAGGGGGATATCGAGTGATATAAGAGGATTAAGAGGGTTATCAATGGATTAAGCGGGATTTGTGTGGATTATCTTGTGATTTAGGTAGATTAAGGGCGATATCGGGGGGATTAAGGGGATCTGGATCTAAAAATCTTCTTTTTTTGCGCCGCAGGCGAAAATTTTGAAAAATTTGGACGATCGTTAAGCCAAAAATCTTCCTTTTTTGCGCCGCAGGCGAAAATTTTGATAATTTTGGAAGATCCTTAAGCCAAAAATCATCCTATTTCAACGCCGCAGGCGAAAATTTTAAAAATTTTGACACCCTAAAGACTAAAATTAATCAATTCGAAAAATTTATCAAGCTTCATTTAATAAAAAATGATTATAATAATTTATTGTTGAAAGAAAAATAAATCCTAAGTCTTTCATTACGTTCGGGTTCGAACCTAATACCTAGATAAGTCCTCTAAAATATGAACCCAACACACTATCCAGTCAACCACGCATCTTTCTTAAAGGAAATGAAAGAAAATTATTTTTACCCGTCTCAATTTTTTCTTCCTTTTCTTTTCACGCCTACCATCTTTGCTTACTTCTTTTTCTCTAACCCATCTTTAGGGGTGTATAGCCGGAGCCATGGGGAATTGGAAAACCTTGGCTCCGGCTCCGGGCTCCGGGGTTTGAAATTCTTGGCTCCGGCTCCAGCTCCGGCTCCGGGGTTTCCAAAATCTTAGCTCCGGCTCCGGCTCCGGCTCCGCCGGAGCCGGCTCCGGAGCTAGCTCCCGGAGCCATACCCAGCACTGATCACCAGTTTTCAACCATAACAGTTGGAAAACTATCGCGGTCCTGTTGACGGGAATCAGAGATATAAAGGGCTTTGTAGGATATCGAAGAATTAAGGAGTTATAAAGGGATTTAAAGGGATATAAGGTTTAGATTAAAATGGATTTGAAAGGATTACGTGAATTTAACGGAATTAACAAGGATTTCGTGGGAGATTTAAGGATTAATCCAAAATATCTCCTGATATCTCCTGATATCCGTCCAAATACCCTTATCCGCAATATTCAATATCCTTATAAATCACTAATATCCCTTGAACCAACAAAAATCACTCCAGATCACCTTGTATCCCTAGATATACCATTTAATCCCTAAAAATCCCACTTAATCCCTCCAGATCCACTTATATCCCAAGTTATACACTTTAATCCCTTCAAATCCCCTCTAATTTCTTCAAATCCTACTTAATTTTTGAATAAATCAACGAAAATATATCGATTTCTAATTATTTTTGAGCATTTTTTTCTCAAAAAATTTTTCCACTAAACCCCCGTACCCCGACCCGAACCCCGGCCATATTTTGCTCCCCCGACCCGAACCCCGCCCCGAAACAATTGGAAAACCCCGTACCCCGACATACCCGCCCCCGAGCGTTCGGGGTACAACCCTAGTTTGGACTAGGGTTCATGCGACCGGTTATTAACAGGTACCCTCGGTTTTCGGTTTTGACCGGTTTACACTCCCGGTTTCGGTTTTCAATTTGCCATCCAGAATATCCAATTCATAATTTATCCAATTATTATGACTCAATGAAATATTCTACAGATCAGGCACCAAAAATTTTGTTATTTAAAGCGGCAGGTGAAAATTTTGAGAATTCAATTTAAAAATTAAATAGGGTCGGGCATTTAAATTGGCTAGAAGATTCTCTTATTCTCCTTGTTAAAATTTATATCTTCTTTGACATGAGAATAATTTTTTGTTTGAGAATAATTTAATTATTATTTTACAAGTTACGCTATTAGATTTACGTTTTTATCTACAATCGTTCCCTAATTCCCTATTATGTTCTTTTTTATATTTTGACTTTAAATTTAGAAATAACCAAAAAATTGCTAAATGTTTTATACATACTAAAATAATCTTTAAAAATCTCAATGTTTGTCAAGAAAGGAGTAAAGAAAAATAAATAATATTTACATAAAGAATAATATGTACATAACTAATAAAGTATTCTAATGACCGGCTCTTCTAGTTTCTTGTTTATTTTAAAAAATTTCAGAAAAATTTCAGAAATCTGTGATCTATAATAATTTGAAGGATCCCAAATAATATAAACAAGAGAATTAGTGAGCATCTGGTCATACTACAGCTAAATTAATACAAAGGTGGACAGAAGAAATATGTAGAGCAATATGCTCTCGTTTTACTTTCTTTTAGCTCTTTGAATGAACTCATTCTCAATGACCTTTAGTTGGGCTTTCACCTCGTTTTTTGCTTGGGCTTAAACTTGTTCGTGAACTTTTTTCTTTTTTATGTTCATGATGAGTCCCGCTCTCTTTTTGAGAACCGCTCCCTTGATCATGAAGGCGTTTTTCTATTATTTTCAAATAATTTTATTTGATAAATAAACTTACTACCAATAATCGGGGTAGATACTTTTCCCCTTTTGACTACATATGTTCCCTGATTCGACTTTTGTTTTTCGAGAAATTCCAAATAAGGCATTTCACCGTATAGTTTAACAAGGAACAAACGGGCAACACCTTCCATGTTCATCGTTTTTTTATCATTCAAATTTAAACAAATTTCAATTGGAACCTTCTTTGTCGATTCTGCTTTACTGGAACTGGATTCTCCAGTTTCTTTTTCGACGATTTCTTCAGTTTTTTCTAATTTGCCTTCTACATATTCAGTTCGGCATGCCTAAAATATTACTTTAGTTAAGGAAAGGTCAGAATTAAAGATCGGTCAAATTAATTAAGTTTAGTAATTGTTGCAATAGAATTGCCTTATGTATATTTAAGATACAAAATCAAGGGTTGTTAAAAATTAAATATAGTAACCTTGAAAGATTTAAGAACAAAAGCAATCTTTTCCTCTATACTGAACATGTTTCTTATTTTCTTATCAAGAAGATTTTTAACTTTAAACTCTCTTTCTTTTTTTAATTTAAAGTCTTCGACATCTCCAAATGTAATATGCTCAACTGGCAAATCTAATTGCATTTCTTCCATTTTTTCTTCCTTAGCAACTTTTGTCTCCTCTTTAATTACTTTTTCCTTTAGTGACTTTACTTCAGAAGAATCTTCATTAACTTTAATCGTCATCCACATTGCTTTTATTGCATCACTTCCATGATCTGCTTCAAATTCGTTTAAATTTTTGTGGTCAATTCCAAAAGCGTAGGTTACTGATTCTGTCCATGCATTGTCTGTGTTAGTCTGTAAAACATTGAAATTGAATTACCGAACCAAATACTTTAAAATTCTATCACCTCTTTCGCATCATTATAGCCAAATATCACCAATTCTCCTTCACCCATGAGAGTTTTGAGTTTATTTTCGAACTCAGCTTTTTCTTCTTTTCCTACCTTCTTATTTGCTAGGCCTTCTTCAATTAATTCTCTCTTTGCTGCATCTTCAAATTCTTCATCTGGATCAACATACCCTCCTGGAGTAGTGATTCTTCTATCTATAAGAATTGTCAATTAAGCAATACTACGACTGGCTTGAGTTTAATTTTTAAACCCTTACTTTTTGATGAAGAATATATAGTATGTATACCTTCAGGTCTCTCATACTTCCCATTCATAACGCCGAGTAATGAAAATTCATCATTTATGCTTTTTGAGTATAAAATTGCTCCGACTCCTTTACTTGGTCCCCATTGGTATAATTCTCCACGTGTAATAAAACCAGTACGTGTAATTGGGTTGATTGGATAACCATTTTCATCCAACTCGTATTTTCTAATAATTATTTATAAATTTTTTATTATTTAATTTTGCATCATGATTGATATCTTGATATCATTATACAAGAATGAAAAATATAAATTATCGGGGTTACACGGTATTTCCCTGGCCTGTGTCTTTCCACGATAATGCTAGTCCATCTCCAAACCTATCCGTAGGGGGTTTAAGAAGTGGACTATGGTTTCAGAGTTATTATCCTGATTTCTAGTTTCAGTTGATTTTATAATAATAAGAATTTTCAAACCCATAAAATGAGCAACGATCAAGTATTCGCTTCTCATTTTTGTCATAATCATGATGAATAATCAAATCCTTTTCACTATCAGTGTGCCATAAACCACTATATTTTTTAACATCCTCGTCATCAGGTTTAATCCAACTACTTGCTGGCAAATGTCCCCTTTTCAAATGGAGACCTACAACCACATTTGGTTTGTATGGTTTATAGAATCCAGCTAAAAATTAACTTATTAGAAATTTACGGTGGGTAGCTTAGTTTGTTGATTAATTGCTCAAAGTTTATTAAGAATTATTTTTAGGAATATAAATTAAAAATAAAAACATAAGAGCTGTCACTATAACAAATAAGAATGTTATAGTATTATATGCAAAATGAAGTAAAGTTATTTTTACACAATCCCTCCTATATTTACCTTCACACGAATTAATCTCATAAATATGTAGATATTTTTAGACGTTGGAATTTTAAATTTAATAAATAATTTGTCTTCTAATATTCAAAAATAAGATAAATAAAACATACAAACATCAATTTTACAAATTCCATCTTCGTTAATTATAATACAACCACGTGGAACATCTTGACCAGGATCCATATCCAACTTTAAAGCCACTTTTTCCTTCAATTCATTTAAAAGTTTATCAACATCATCATCTTCCGAAATAGAATATCCCGCCTTTTTTAACGATTTTACAGCTTTCTCTCGTTCTGACACATGATCTATATCTTTCAATAACTTTATAGCTTTATTTTCAATCGCTACTTTTTTTGATTTTTCCTTCAAGTCTTTTAAGTGTGGCTTTTGAGCATGTATTTTTTCAATATGGTTATCAGGGCCCATATTATTGTAATCCTCATAGGCCTCCTCACTCATAATGTCTTTTAGCCATCCATTCTGAATTTCCAAGACTCTATTAAATTCCTCATCAGTAACGGTAGCTCTTGGATAGATTGCCGCTTTAATTATTTATATGTATAAGAAATGATTTGGCATCTTTTGCGTCATGCACTATGAGTATTACAAGTTACAATTTTGAGATTTAAGCCTAATATTTACCAGCACAAAAATACCAGGGATACATATATTCACAGCTTTTCATTGAAAACTTACATTTGTAGATTCCAGTATATTGACGAGGCAGCGGTAACTGGTATTTCGGATCGTAAAGCTTTCTTTTGCACCCCTCATCATTTGGTTCCAGATACACGTTTAAATTTCCTGGCAATCCCCGAGATGATCGCTCAGGTGCCTTTGCTTCTTCCAATGCAATAAGCAAGGTAAATGCACCTAAAACGAGTAGGCGCATGTTTTAAAAGTTTTTTGTCTAAAATCGAATTTATTATATCCTTTATATTATTAAATTAATTAAAAATATTTATTATAATTACAATTTTAATAAATCAATCTTTCAATATATTCTTCTTGATAATATGGGCTAAGTTATTTCTTAGTAGAAAACAAGGAAGATAAATAAATGAGAGATATAGCTTCGGGATAATAGATAGCTAGGACTATCAGAAATTTTGGGAAGAAAATTTAAAAATATATTCCGATATGAGGTTATGAAATTTAGAAATTTGCAACATTTTTTACAGTTGCGCACACCCAACGGTTTTATGTTTCAAATAGAAAAAATTTTAAGAGTATGTATTGTGTTTAGTTGAAATGTTTTCCTAACCCTCTGACAGACTTTTTGGATTCTAGTGTAGCTGGTATTCATCTACAAGGGAAATCCAGAATTATGATTGCTTCTAAAGCTTTATAGAAAAGGATAGAGGTAAATTACTTATTAATTAAAAAACTATAAATGAATCAAATGTCAAATAAATTGGCTTTAAATAAACATCCAAACTCAAATACTTTAAAAAATATCATTGCCCTTCACAAGAGGGCTATCATGTGCTACAAGGCAGTCACTAAGTTTTTCGAAAATATTAAGCCAGATTGCTAATTAAATAAATAAATTATAATCCAAAAATGGAAATGATAAACCGATAATACATAAAACAAGCTAAAATGGCCAATTTTCCTTAGCTTAAGAAAATGAGGTATTACTATTTTAAATGAAATATTGCACTTTAAGAATATTTATTTAATAATATATTTATTAAGAAATAATTAAATTCTCTATTTATATCTTTATTCCAATTTCAAAAGAATTTTAAAAATTGATGAAATTTTTTAAGTCTGGTTTTTCAGAAATTTTATAAAAATACTGTAAAGCCCGATTCAAAATCGCAGATTCAGCATAGCCGATTCATTCTACGATAAAAAGGGGCAGATTTAGAATACGCAGAATGCGCTTTTTTAATTGTTTTTTGTCTAAAATTGAATTTAATATTTCTTTCATATTACATATATTAAATTAATTGAAAATATTTATTATGTATAATTAAAATTTTAATAAATCAATTTTTCATCATATTCTTCATAATAATATGGGTTAAGTTATTTTCTAGTAGAAAACACAGAAGATAATTAAATAAAAGAGATGATTGTGGGTGATATGTTTCGGTGTCATATGATAGTTAAAACTATCAGAAATTTTGGTGAGAAAATTGTCATGTCCGATGTTCATGCTGTGGAAAAATTGTGGATGGGAGATGGAATTGAACCATCACGGAAAGAGCCCAGACCGAAGCACAACCGACTGTGCCACCATCCAACCCGATGTTGGGTTATTTATTTTCGTTTATGTTCTTTCTGCAAGCGCGGACACAACACTCCTTCCGCCTTGCGAAACCAAGCGTCCTCGCTTGTTGCTTGTCTTCAATAACTATCATCTGTTTTGATTTTGGAGAGAACACACAGAAACCCATTTTGTGGCATATGCTGCGCTTCATGCGCCTTACGCATTTTATTTATATATTAGCCTTCACACCACCGGCTAGCCTATCACAACTCAGGCATTTTTTTTTCTTAATTTCTCACAGGGTCTTCTCCTTTTTCTCTCCACAGTGACAGAATGTCAGATCATCACAGCATGTAAGGTTCGCTAAAATTTCCTCGGGCTATGCCCGGCCTGTGCGACTGCGCCATTTGTCATGTCCGATGTTCATGCTGTGGAAAAATTGTGCATGGGAGATGGAATTGAACCATCACGGAAAGAGCCCAGACCGAAGCACAACCGACTGTGCCACCATCCAACCCGATGTTGGGTTATTTATTTTCGTTTATGTTCTTTCTGCAAGCGCGGACACAACAAAAATTTCAAAATATATTCCGATATGGAGGTTAAGAAAGTTAGAAATTTAAAACATTTTAAGAAAAGCTAAAATAAAGAGAGCCCGCTGACTATATGACTCTGGCCTATAGAATATAATGATAGAAAAGAATAATTTACCTAGCTAAAAAGGTTAATTATTATTTAATATTTTTTATAAATTATTATTATAAACTAAATAAATAAATTGAAAAGGATTTTAAAAATGATTAAATCGAGAGGAATTCTCAGTATTTATTTACCGCTTTTACGCGGCGCAACTCTTAATGACTCCGCCCATAGTAAGATAAAGATTGAGGGATTGATTAAAAAAGAGAAGGGGTAATTGTTAAAGAGAGGATTAAAGAGAAGGATTAATTGTTTAGTTTGTCAAGATTCAGTCAGTCCCATAATCTCCCCTCTCCCAACTAGACGCTTCCATCTTTAAGATAATTTAAAAATAATTCTATCAGAAACATGAAGAAAATATAAAATAAAAAAATTATTTAAATTAAAGCAAGATGAAAGTAAAAAAAATTTGTTTATTATGAAATGTAATTTCTAATTTTATTTAAAAAACTTATTTTTGTTGGTTTTTCATGCCTATTTTCAATATTTTAAACAAGAGCTTGTCGAATACACTTTAGAATCGCCTGTTGATTTTTCTCTAATTAAGAAATAGAATATTTTGTAGTTTGTATATTTATTATAATAAATAATTTTAAACGCTTGCACTTTGTCACCCGCTCCCTTTCTTTGAAAATATATAAAAGCTTGACAAAATTTTATAATGCCCTTTGCTTGTCAGCAGTGCTGACAAGCAAAGGGCATTAAAGAATTTTGTCAAGCTTTTTTATGTTTTAATTTTTTAATTAAGAAAGGGAGCGGGTGACAAAGTGCAAGCGTTTAAAATTATTTATTATAATAAATATACAAACTACAAAATATTCTATTTCTTAATTAGAGAAAAATCAACAGGCGATTCTAAAGTGTATTCGACAAGCTCTTGTTTAAAATATTGAAAATAGGCATGAAAAACCAACAAAAATAAGTTTTTCAAATAAAATTAGAAATTACATTTCATAATAAATGAATTTTTTACTTTCTTCTTGTTTAAATTAAATAATTTTTTATTTTATATTTTCTACATGTTTCTAATATGTAGAATTATTTTATAAATTTTCTTAAAGATGGAAGCTTCTAGTGGGGAGAGGGTAGATTATGTGACAGAATTTATTTAGAATCTTTGTTTAAATTAAACCTTTGTTGGGACCTTTGTTTAAAAAATTAAAAAAAAACAACATAAAAAGCAAATCCACATGTCAATATTTTATAATGCCCTTCACCTCTCAGCCAATAATTTTTAAAAAATCAAAAATATGTAAGTAAATAAGTTTAATAAAAAAATATATTCAATAAAATTTTTATTTATAAAAGGTGTTTTTTTTTAATTTATAGAAACAATCAAAAATTAATAACTTGACGATTTTCGTTATATTTTCTTGTAGATCTATCAAATTTTTATACTTTAATTTAAACAAAAGTTTGGCCATAGTTAGCCATCAAAGGTTCACCAACAAAACTTTTCGAGGTGAAATTGTTAAGGTGAGCTACCATAGGTAGGTAAATTTCGAATAGTTTCCAATTTTGCGGGGTTTGATGTGTGATTGAATTATCGTTGGATTTCTTGTTTGAGTTGAGGTATATTTTTCTAGAAACTATAAAATCGTTTTGTAGATTTTTTCGTGATTATTTCTATTCACATAAAAAACAAAAAGTTTAGGTATAGGTATAAAACAAGTTACAACAAAACATGGACAGAACTAAAAAAATAACAGGCAGTTGGACAGAATTCTTCTGAATCAATTTTCGATCTAAATTATATTTACATATGGAAATCTTTATAAAGTTTACAAATAGGAAAAATATAAAAGATAATATCCAACCTCTTTGCTACGTTTAAAGGCTAAACATCGTTAAAATTTTTGACTGCTTAACGCCACAGTAATTTCTGAGTTTGCTACAGTGATGTGAGTTAAAAATATTTTTCAGGTTAGTTTTTACTTCTTGTTGAACTTAACAAAATGTTCAACAAACTTATCTCCATAAATGTCTCAAATTGTTAAATAAGTATAGATGAGCGAGTTAAAGTTTAACCCGTGTTACTATATTGCAACACGTCTAAACACGTACCAGAGGTTGGTCGGAATTTCGATTTACGAGTTCCAACGTTTTTTCCTTTCCGATTTTCCTTTTACGAAATATAGGAAAAATTTCCAATTTCTGATGATTTTTAAGCAAAATTGCCAGCAGCTCCGATTTCCGGCACCTTCATTATTTCCAACAGAACTCTGCCACCTAGAAATGCTCTAATTATTAGGCTATCGATGACTGCTTTAAAATATTTTATCAACAGTGTATAAATTTTTGAAGTAAAAATATTTAACATTAAATTACTAGTTTAAAATTTTTATATTCATTAGTATATTTAATATAAATGTTTATTTAATTATATCAAATAATTTTATTACACTATAAAGTCATAAGGATAAAAACTTTATCAAAACAGATTTAAATTAAATTTTAAAAATAAATATTAAGTTTAAATTAAATTATTATTATCTATTTTCAAATAAAAAGGTGACAACTGTACTTTTTAATTTTGTTATTTTTTCAAATTAAAGATTAAATTAATAAAATAACTTATTGGTAGAAGAAAATCTCGTGTCAGTCCGAAACGTTTAATAGTTTTTATTAAATTAAAAAACTGACTGAATTATTAATTTTTGACGCAATGATTAAAATAATTTTTTAAATTTATATTGAAAGTATGAAAGATTGTTGTGTTAAATTCACGTAAAGGAGAAAAAATAAATTATTTTATTAAATAATTTAACTTTAAAAACCAGCGTTTATAATTATTTTTATTAAATGCTAAAAATTCGGAAAGATATTATAAACTGTTCCTTTATCTTAATTTTGTTAATACAAATTTATTGTGCATTGTATTACAAAATAATTTCAATTCAGATACTATTTTTCTAAACATTTTGCTTGTAAAAGATTGTCTTTTCGCTCTGTTGTATAATAAATTTATTTTTTATAATAAATTTATGTATAATAAATTTATTTAATTTGGAGTTCTCGAGCAAGCCTAATCCCGATGGATGTAAATGAATTATTTTTTTGTTTCAAATATGTATATTCGTTAAATAAAATCATTCCCGTTGGCTAGCCTTTATTATTATAAGAATTAACAGTTTCGCTTAAAATATTTTCTATTTTTATATCCAACTTCCCTTTTTAATTTTTTATTCTTTTATTTAATTATCATTTTTATATTCTTTGTTACTTACATTTTATTAAATATAAAGAAATCTTTCACGGAAACGGCATAATACAATGCCAAAAATTCTTTAAAATTATTCAATTTGTATTATTTATAGTTTTAATTTCTGCGAAAAAATATTTTTAGGCATTTTTTGGATTTTATTAGGAAATAAATTTAATTTAAAATTTGTTTAAGAATAAATTCTAACAAGATATATTGAGCTAAATTAATTAACTAAATTAAAATTTGCTAGAGTTAAACATAAAATTTAAATTAATATTTTCAATAAATCATAATTTTTAATTTCTAAACAATCTTAAGGTTTATACATTTATATCATTCTTACCTTATATTAATTTAAAAAATTTTCTATACTCCGCTATTAATTCTAAATAAATAAAAACAATGCATAATGTAACACCATTTGAAATAAATTATTTGGGACTTGATTCTGAAGAGTTTGCCAAATTAGAGCTTTTTACTTCAGAACAACGTACAATTACTTGGCTACTTATTTCAATAGAATATTTTGTTCAATTTATTAATATACCTTTTGGAATAATTAGTATAAAACTTCTATATTGTACTAGTGTAGGTTTAATAATTTTATTTTGAAATTTTATTATTATTGTTCCAATTTGGGTTTTTATGTCAAGCTTTAAAGCCGAGAACTTAAATTAAAGTTATTTGCCATTTTAGTAATAGAAGGCCATTGAAAATGAATCATTTTTAAATACTATAGTAACACAACGATAATTAACAAAAACTCAGACCCGAAAATCATGTTTTAAAAAATTGGATTAAGTAAAAGGAAACACATTGGTATAATCTAATAACCAATCGCCATTCTGACTTATGATCAATGAATTCAGCAAAGTCGTAGCTTACTATGAGATTTTTGATTTCGAAAATTAAATTTTTGATAGTATTCTTATCTGATTCTAAGGGGATTGCTGGAATGCATACAATTAGTGATCACATATCATTTAAAAAATTTATTTAAACCAATATTTTATCTTGGTGTTAGAGTGACTGTAAATATACGAGATTAAATGAATTCAGTGATTAGTAGATCCTAAGTAAAGTTATCACTGTAGAAATGATTTTTAAATTAAAGAAAATCCTAATATTGACGAAAATATCCAACTAAATTTAAAATTCTAATCTAATATATTTAAGCTACTCCATCGAAACCTCAAATTTATTTTAATAACACAAAGCGGATTAATAATATTTGAAGCATTAATCAGGCTATTCTTCGTTGGTCCAATAAAATATTTTACGGGGGACATTTTTTGGTTTCAGACTGAATTTAGGTTTATAAAAAATTATTTTGATTTAATAAAATTTATTTAAAGATTTCTCCCAATAAAATTTCTTGTACAACTTCCCAAATTTTTCTCGCATGATATTTTGTCATCTAATTATTATTGAACGAATTTGTGCCACAGTCTTTATAAAATGTTATGAAACTAAGAACGGAAGAATATTTACAACCTCATGGATTTCTATTTTTGTAGGGGCTATTTTAATTTTTCGGATATTTTATGTTAAATATTGAGGTTACTTTTTATGAGTGGAGATATCTGAAACAATTTTTAGTGTTTGTAAGACATCACCAAATAAAAAATGATCCTCAACCACTATTTGATCATAACTTTTTTATAAAGGGATATAGCAGACATAAACTTAAATTTGTGATTTTTGTTTTAGGGATTCCCGGCCCCCTTTTTCTGAATACCCCCCCCCTTTTTTTCGGGAATTTCCAAATTCGGAAATATCCTATGTCATCCTTTCAATTTAAAAATAATTTCACAATACTTTCAGTTAATTCTGTCAGTATTAAACTTTATTCTTAATGAAGAAGATGAAGCAAACGACAATTTATCTTCTCAAAATGTGACATTATCTAGTGCAATAATTGCTATGTTGCTGGCTTTAATAGGATTATTTGAAATTATTGTAAAAATAAATTATTATGAAATAAATACTTTATAAGGAAATTTTTAGTTGATTGGAGTAATTTGGAATTACAACAAGAATAAATTAAATGGATTTACAAATTCAAGTCAATTATCTATAATTGGAGGTAAACCTGTTGTTGTAATAAATGTTCATAGGAGAACATCTGAATATAAACTGAAAAAGCGTTATCAGGTAAATTATAAAAGTTTGTTAGGGATTGGATACCGGCCGTATAAAAAAAAATTTATTTGAGATTAATTATTTGATTGAAAATTTATTTGAGATTAAGAGGTATATCATGAGATTAAAAGGTGAAAAGTTCCATGGAAGAAGTCGGGGTTCGGGGATGAGAAGTTCATCATTCCGATAGGTGAGGCGGACTTAATGTGAAGATAGTTCCAGGAGTTCGAGCAAAATAAAATTGAGCAAATATATAATTGTATTTTCAATGATAAAAATTTTTTTCTAATTCAAATTAATTTTTAAAGTATCTGGAAAACATGCGCAGCGCATTTCAATTGGCGCCAACAATTCTTGCATATTTCGTTGCGGGTGTTTTGACAGCATTGTCGCAAACGTTTTATTCAATTATCTTTGAAGCAGATGACTTTACAAGTGAAATAATTGTTAGTTTATTAATAAATAATGAATGACTCTCGTAATACTATATAGGTTAGGTATATCAGGATTATTCACAAAATAAGACCCCGGAACTGAGGAGCAAACAGCAATTGGAATAAGCGTCATAGATCTCCCATTATAATACTTATGCATGAGTGTTGTCTTGGGTTTTTCCGGGAGTTGCCAAGGTCGACAAACACAAGATAAAAGTACATATATCCAAGGAAGAAAGTTCTAATATTTGTAGTGATAAGTTGGATCAGGAGATCACGGACTAAATCCTATAGCATGATCAAATAGGTATAATGATGAACTGCTCTATATGCATTTCAAATGTTATCCTACTACTTTTAGATTTGACGGAGTTTAAACGGAGATTGATAAAAATATACACACGGGTTTAAGAGTTAGGTATTTCTAAATAGTTATGAAAAAACTTATCAGAAATTTATGAAAACAGCTAAAATAATAATTTAAATAATTTTAGTCACAATTGGACAATTTGTTTATTGCATTTATTAACTTTTTAATAATTTCAACAACTATTTTGTAAGCTAAAAATATTTTTTATTCCATTATTGAATCAAATCTTTTTAGTTTTCATAAAATTCTAAGAAAGAATTTCTTCAAAATTTTCAACCAATTATTATGTTGTGCTCCAAAAATAAAGAAATCTCTGGAGAAGAGTACAATAAATAAAATTACTCCAACTGTGGCACAACAACAAACTGAGAAATATTTTGCAATGTTGAAAGGGACTTGGGATTAATAATTATAAAATCTCTAAAAAAATTTTTGATTTAAATAATCATGTAAATTTAATTCAATAACTTTTATATAAAACTAGGGTTGCGCGAGATCGAGGTTTTTCGAAAAAATCGAGATCGAAGATCACCTAGGTCAAAATTGAGGCGAGGTCCGAGATCGAGGTTTGAGGATACCCGAGGTTTCTAAAAAATTTTATCTTTTGAAATTAAAATTGCTAAATTTATCGTATATCGTCGAATAATTGAAATGTGGTCGAATTATTGTGAAAATAAATGCGGTTTTAAAAGTTCTTTGAAAAATAAAATGATTCGTTTTGCTTCGTTTAGTAAAATTTTGGTTGTTTCGTCACGTTTCGTTAACGAAACGATTTTAAAAAAATTTTGTTTCGTTTATTTTGTCCGCAAGTTCGCCCAAGTCTTGTTCCGACTCGTATTTTAGCCAGCTTTTTGCTACAACATCTTAACCAGATCGAATTTAATAAACTATTTTTAAACTTATTATTTATTAATCTTTCAGAAATTTTTCAACATTAAATTTGTTACAGTCCTTATCATTCCAAAATTTATTTAAATCAATTATATTCTTTGATTTTTCTTCAAACTGTTTAGTAGCATATTCACATATTTTGCATAATGGAGAATAATCATACCCAAATCTTCTTTTTGTATATGTTTTTGTCCATTCAAAGTGTCTGTATTTTAAATAAACTTTAATGGGCTGAAAAAATTAATGTTCCCAAACTAGTTATATTTCTATATTTTTGTGAGAGGTATCGGAGACAAATACACTATTAGGAAAACTTTATGAAGCTCCTATACATCAAGACTTTTCCGAGCCATTTGATAACAAGATCAAGCTCTTAAAAAATCTTTATCTTAATAATCGAACTAAACGAGAATTAATTAGGTATTTTCACTACACGAACCCTGTACATTTTTCAGTACTATAAATCGGTAATTTTGCTAAGATTGAGTTTTATCTGACCGTTCTCAAATTTTTAAATTTACTTTAAATATCTTTCCGTATCATTTTGCAAAGCCTTTAGATGCGCAACAAATTCATTTACTGATTTAAAATCATCCAAAGCAATAAATGCATTAGAAGGAACATCCATTCCTTCAAAAACAGATCTACTAAAAACTACAGGTACAGTAAGTGATCTTAACGAATTCCAAAATTTTTCTGTTACATAATTGTGACAAATATTATTCTCCAATGCCAAATAAAACATGTGGGTTTCTAAAAATTATTTATTATACCTACATAAGTTTACGTTCAAATTCTAGCTTGAATTTGGATCTTACACTTATGATAATATTTAGAGTTAGACCCTATATGTATGAATACATTTTGGGATCATTCAATAGAGATGAATTTGGCCTGCAAATTCGGCAGCTAATGTCTTCTTGCCTTTTTAAATCAAATTCAGGTTTACCTAAACTACGGTTATAGCATGCATCATCACACCCTCTTCTACCATAACACACACCAACAACCTCCAAATCCATTAATTTTTGTAGTTTTTTTGAAATAAGATCACGACCAGATTCAGAATTACAATGTGAAATTGCTTGGAAAGCTAATTTTGTTTTGTTCTTAACTATTGCCAGAACCTTTAATTTAAAACATCCTCATATTTGAGTCACAATTATGTAATTTTTTTCTGTTTTATTTAAATTTTGACTAATCAAACGTGGAGTAGATACCTAGGCGATTCCCTCTAATGATACACCATCATAATTTTTCTGCACCGTTTGTATTTTAGTTACCTCTTTTTGATCCCAAATATATTCTTTTGGAGTAGTTGGAGTAATTCTGGTTAAAACATCATAAGGCATAAATACAGAACTATCTAAACGATAAGTTGCTGTACTATTAAAAAATTTGTCTGTTAAAAATTTTCTGTCATAATATTTCAAGGTAGTCTGTATAGGAGATTCAACTGTAAACATCATATAATTTTGATCTTCTCTACGATTTTGAGGCCATGAATTTATTGCACAGAATGTATGGAGCAAGAAAATCGTTGTTGATGCGTTTGTTTCGCTTAATAAAATTAAATTTATTCGTAATCACTAGAGCGGGTAGTCATCACTCAAGCTTTTATTTGTGTTTTTTCTAAATTGGTCATGAGGTACAGTCATGGTCTCGAGTCTTCTCTTGGAAAATTTTAATTTTCGACAGCTCTAGTAATCACACTACATATTAATTACATAATTATCAAATTATCGAACATATAATACAAAAGACCAAGAATCATAGAAAATTCAAGAGTTGTGAAAATTGTTATTTTCAGGTAACTGGAAAAGATTCAAAATAAGAACTCTTAGGAGGGCTCTTTCTAACAAATTTATAATATTTATAAAATTGTATTTGTATCATCTCAAATTAAATTATACAGGGTGCGGCAAATTTAGCGCCGACTTTGTTTTGGCTATAACTTTTTTAATTTTAAACGAAAATTGATAATTTTTTTTCCTGGATTCCCAACACTTTAGGTGATGGTTCAATTCCGTGATGGTTCAATTCCATCTCCCATCCACAATTTTTCCACAGAATATCGTATACCGTATTATCTCTAATAGAATGCCCGGGCATTCTATTTTTCAATCACCTTCCAAAGGGGCATTCTATTAGAGGGGGGCATTCAAATGGAGGGGGGCATTGTATTTTTCGATGACTAAATTTTAAAGTTTGAAAAATTTTTATCAAAAATTTTTATCCATAATATAAAATAGAGTAAGTCGAGTTCGAGCGAGTTCGAGTTACTCGACTCGACCGCTCGGTTTTTTTGCGTAATTACTCGACTCGGAACTCGGGATAATAATACTCGGATTACTCGAACTCGGAAAATTCCTACTCGACTCGGAAAATTCCTACTACGATTAAAAGTGAATATGTAGTAAACGTTTTAAATATAAATTGTAATATCTTTTTTATTTAGAAAAATTTCAGCAAAAAAAGGGGGGCATTCTATTAGAGGGGGGGCATTCAAATGGAGGGGGGCATTGTATTTTTCGATCTTCCGCTAGAGGGGCATTCTATTAGAGGGGGGCATTCAAATGGAGAGGGGCATTCTAATAGAGATAATACGGTACAATAGTTTCATACTCATTTAATTTAAGGACTGGTTGATTTGTTACACGAATTCCCTCCCAGCCTTGCAGATAAAGCAAAAATTAAAACGAACAGGCGGTGGTTGAAAGTTTTTTTAAAAAATTTTGAAAGATTAAATTTATCCTATCTTTGCTATTTTCTGTGATAGCTCGTCCGTTTTTTAAATTAAATAAAAACATACAATTTTCTATCGGTAGTAAAAGTACAATTGAACGGACATTTAATGGTTGAATTGATCACAGGATAATCTGGATAACCAATTCCTTGACTTGTTACTCGAATACATTTATTCCAAACCAGAATTGGGGGCATTTTCTGCTTTTTACTTGATATCTTAATTAATTTTTTAATTGAAAATTGGAAATTATAGTGTGTGCTATCTTTTAAACGCCTATTGATCGGAGACTTACGATGATCCTCATGAATCCCTCTTAAAATCCAGGGTATTTTTATTACAAAAGATTTCATAAATCTCGCGGGATCAAGTCATAAGTGTTTAGAAATCTTGTACCCTAACAGGATCAAGGAAGTTTATTTATTGCCCCACTCAAATATACGCAAGAAGATTACCTAACCTATAAAATATTTAATAAGTTACCGATTTAGATGCTTTGAGAATATAAAATTGATCATATTGGTTATAAATTAAATAAAATAATGAAGTTAATATTAGGATTATGAATAAAATTAAACAACAAATAAATTTTGAGAGATCCTTTAATTGCTACATATTATGAAACAAAAAATAGTTTAATAAATAATCTTTAAGCTTTATAAGAAAATTCTTTTTATTTATTTTAGCTAAACCACGTTACATAATTTTAAAAAATTTCATTTTCCTTTCTCTTTAGATCATTA